AAATGGATTAAAGTTTACTGTGGAGGTATAGCTCCTGGAGTGCTAGATCTTGTAATCAGAACCCAAATGACCATTCTGTGCATGGACAAAATACTTGGTGTTGCAAGGCTTTTTGTGTGGATGTGTTGGGAACCCTAGAAATGTGTACATTGTTTTTTAGGCTCAACAAACCCTAAAAAGTATGAATAACAAGGGATGGGTTGTGAGCTCTTTTGCAAGTTGTGGGTTGAGGTGTTGAATGATGGCTGACATGGCAACCTAATTAGCCAATACTTTAATTAATTCTGCAAAAACACAATGTGGTAAGTTCCTGACACAGTCGAGTGTACTTATTATTCTATAATTAACTTTCCTTTGGCAAATCATGCATTGGTCCAGAAAAATGCTCTTTATTCCACTGATGGGGAATGAGAGTAGCTCTTGGGTTGGAAAAAATTGATTTGGGTGGCACCGGCCTTTGGCTTTGCATTGAAAATGGGGTTGGAAGTATTTGAAGAAAGTGCATTTGCTGTTTAAGACAGATATGCACATTCCGGAGGACACGCTATTTTAGAAAATAGTGTAGGCGAACAGTTTTTCTTTTTCTTTTCCGTTTTTTTCTTCTTCCTTTCTCTATTGCTCTTTTTTCCTGTTTGAGGAAAAACCTGCTCTGTCTTTTTAAAACAACCCTTTGAAAGACCCCTATACCCCTCCAATCACACTCTAGAAAAATTTGGATTTTTAACCAAAATTGAAAGGGGAGAAAAGAGGAAGAAGAATGAGCAAAGAAAACAGTACAAATAAATGTTTAATATATAACGCATGTTGCATATCTATATATATATATATATATGTATATCACATCCATTAGTTTTTTTTTTGAATTGATTTTTAATTTCTGATTTTTTTTTTTCATTGAATGGAAATGGGTACACCTTGGCAAGGGTTAATGTGCCATGTTCACATGACTTGAAAGTTCAACTGTAGCTTGAGGAAATGGCATGGACAGTAACTATTTCTCCCTAGCAAAGTTAAGCTCTTCGGATGAACTTAAGGGGACGAAGTTAGAGAGTATGACGCTGTGGTATTCTCATTATTAATTTACTGTTATTGTTATGGGCCATGCTTTAAGAGGGGGCTTCAAAATGGGTGGAGTGGGGCATGGGGGTGGCAACCATAAAGACTCCTGCACTGAATTTGGACACCATGCTATAAGAAGAACCAACATGCAGAAGTATAGAAGAGGAGCCCAGGCCCAGCCCCACTTAAAAGCACTAACTCAACCAGCCTATCCTGGTTCCAAAGCAATGTGGATTGCAGTGGAAAAGAGTGTTCATTCCAGGGTGCCAGGCTCCCCCCTTTCAAGGGAATGAGTCATTAACTAAGGCCCAATTCAGGGATAACCATGGTTAATAGCAGGAATCTGTGGGGGGCTTGATTCCACAGGCCATGTTGCTTGCCCAGAATGGGCACAGAGACTGCAAGTATACAGTGACACTCAATATGCCCTTCCCCGGCTCCATGCTAAGTGGGGGACTTCATAATAGATGGGGTTGAGGTGGCAAGGGGGGGGAGGGGAGGCAACAACTCACATGAATATTGCAATGGGGGGCGGCACTGCACAACACAACCCTTGTCTCGCTGACCCCCCATCCAAGACTGTTTTTTTTCTTCTTCTTCCCTTGTTTGAAAAATCCCAGCATTCTGAGCATATTTGTAGGAAGCTTCTTCATGAGATTTTGGGGGGTTTGACCTGTGCATTAAGGGGATAGATATCCGTTTAGAAAGCAGGCAGACAAAGCAGAAAATGCAGCAAGAGCGAGGTGGCCTGGCTGGCAGTGCTTTTGGGATTTGGCCCCAGTTGCAAAAACAAACTATACAGGGCAACAAGAGGCAGCTCCTCATAATCCTCTCCATTAACTTAATAAAACCCCACAATAATAAACCCCCTCCTCCTCCTCCTCCCCCACCCCCCACTAAACACTGTGCTCATTATTGCATTGGCACACACACACACACACATATACACACAATGATAATAATATTATTAATACTGCTCCTTTCTTCCCTAAAAAGTTTCAAGCCCCTTCAAGACTACCCATCCAAAATGGTGCCCCCTCTCTTCAAACCCTTCATCTAATGATAGATCATAACCCAGCAACTTGTGCTGTCAGCTGCCAGAAGAACACTCACCCCTCACTAATGTCCAAGTAAGCAATCCCATATGGTTGTGGGCATTGACATGCGCCATGCTTTGCAAATGTGAAGCATAAAATGAGCTTGGATTTTGGTGAAGTTTGGATTTATGTGAGCTGGGTTTTCTTCTTTTTCTTCTTTTCACAGGTGATAATTTTTATTTTTTTGTAAAAGTTGTGTTTCTTGTTTACTTATTTGGTTAGTAGATTGGATGATGGTGAATGGACTGGTTAAATTTGTTGATGAAAATGAATTACATGGTGTAGAGTGGGGAGAAGGGGATAGAGTGAGAGGCTGTAGCTGGCAAAGGTCTGCCATGACATTCAAAAGGAAGGGTGCCTTCAATTGAATGAGAACATGGAGCTCATATCTGTGGACATGATGGGAGGCAATATATACTGAGAGCTACATGATGCTTGCACAAATATGAATATTGAATTTTGAGAGATAGAGGGAGATCATGGCATTTCAACTAATTACATCAATGGTGGGTGTTGAACCCTGGGTTGCGATTTTTAAAGAACATGCATGGAAATTATAACACAGAAAAGGAACAGCATAAATAAAAAGAGGTTTGTACTTTGCACCCCCCCCCCTCCTGTGACCATCATGCCATGGATGATTTTTTATATTTTTTTGTATTTTTTTAAAGCATATGGATATGTATTGGAGGAAAATCTGGAAGAAAAAGATGACAAAGAAAATAATATTGATGATAAACTGCCATCCTTTCTTAAAAATATAACGTGTATGAAAATGAGCACAACTTCTATTATTCCCTTTTCTTAGTATTTACTTATTTACATGCACACTCACTCACTCACTCACTCACTCACTTCTATTTATTTTCATTTTCATTTTTTTACCATAATCTCAAAATTTAAGCTCTTGTATAATTTGTGTTTATTACTGCAAAGTTACCACAAAGCTTGTTTTTAGTTGTTTTGTTTTGTTTTCTTTCTCCATCATGGCATTAGTAGGAAACAGTGAGAAATTTATTGGAAGAGCACCACACATAAAAGGTGGTGTAAGAATGTTCTTATAAACTGAAGGCCTCATTCTGATAATTGTCATCATGGAAACTGTCTCTGCACAGAGTTATGTGATTTCAATAAATGGCAGAGGCAAGGGTTAAAAAGAAATTGTCCATCCTTATGATCACATCACTTGTGTTGCAGCTCCCATTTTGAAGGCTGCATGGGGACTATGACTCAGTGCTTGGGTTTAATCAAAAATATAAAAGACACAAATAGAAGAAAATGGGGCCAACTCTGCCATGTTGTGTGATCAGGAGGATCATGAATGCACAGGGAATCAATGCTGGTTATGCTTCCTACTGTGACCCATTTGATAATTGCTTGTGGAATGGTCCTGCCATTGTGAATGATAAGGTCTCTCCTCTTTACTAGATAAGGTTCAAGTTTGGACAACACTAGTGTTATAAAAATTTTAAAAAGAAAAAAGGGGAAAAGAAAAAAGAGAAAAGAATATATATATATATATATATATATATATGCATGTAAAGAAACTACCAGTGGGCAGCTGTGGTTGCAAACACTTATCTGTAAAATATATGTATGTCAATAAATGTTTGTATGGCCACCTTGGACCATTGGTTTGTGTAAGCACGACACTTCATAATGTTTAATATATATATATTCACAATAAATTGAACTGTTGGAGTAACAAATGTTCTAAACTACCTTTGAAGGCCACAATAAATACAGAGAATATAAAGAGAGGTGTGGGCCACCCCTTTTTCAGGGGAAGTGGAAAACTGTGATTCAAAGTACATGTTTTTCACAACACAGTATCAAGCTAAGCAAATCTTACCCTCCTCTATTTTGTTTTTATTCTAGATATTGTGGTCCTGGTCTGTGGAGAGAGTTCTAATGGCAGCTCGGGGCCTTTAACCAGCACATCAAGCAAATGGATTCGAGGCCTGTTCATGTTATCTAGCACGTTAATTCAAGGGGTTTATTATCCTCAAGCAGTCACAATCCGCAATGAGATCAGAATTTAGGGGGAGAGGAGGACAATTAAGTTAGAGCCAAGGGTGGGGGGACAGCAACAACCTCTCCCCTCATCTGATCTATATCTCCATCTCTTCTCATCGCATCCGCTGCTTCCGTTGCCCAATGGTAGGTACCTAGTAGGTGAAAGAAGAAAGGAAGAATTTACGGCAAATGTTAAAGGGAAAAGAGAAGTAATAGCGAAGGCAACTCAAGTGAGGCTGCCATCAATGCGAACATCAAGCCTTTTGGTACCCGACTTCCTTCGCATGAAGCCAGAGCACTTCCAATACGGGGAGGGGGGAGAGTCCATTAGGTTGCGAAGGAGTCGCAGGGCAGTGCTCATCAGCGGGGCCTGGCAAGTGAAGTTTTGCATTGAACGAACGTAACGTAGGCTGTTGGATCCTTTCCGCTGCAGGAAGGAGACCAGCAAGCCAGAGGGCGCATTCAAACCACCCACAGCGATCGCCAAGCTGCTGCATCAGAGAACCGGTATTAATAGCATCAGGGCTCCGCCAGGCATTAGTATCTTCTGCTGGACAATTGATGGTTATTTTTCCTCTCGGGGCAGCGCTCCGGGTAGGGGCAGGGCCTGGGCGGGCCTACGAGGCGAGCTACGAAAGGAGTAACTTTAGTGCCATAAATGTTACCATGGTGACAAGCCGGAGTAGAAATCTGCCGTTTCGGTGGGATCACTTGTGAAGGCAGCCCGGTTTACATTCAAACCTGTAAAGGAGCTTGGCTCTAGGACGTGAGGCGGCTCGGCTGGCTCGGAGCCTGACCAGGATAGTAAACCGATCATTCAGCAGTAAACTGGCAGATGGTAATGAATGTGCGAGTAGGTTCAAAGCTCAAAACCCAGAGACTTGCCCTTGGTTTCTGTTGTATCCCGCAGAGGCAGCAGCTCGCCAATTCTAGTGCGCAGTGCTAGCTCCATCTCGGCCAGCTCTTTAGCCTCGTACTTATGGTATTAGAGGATATCTCAGTTCGGCCGCTGTGCTGGCTTCCTGACTGCAAATTGCGTCGTAGTCTCAATCTTTTCTTTTGAACCTGGGGACTTTGATTGAGTCTGGTTGGTTAGAATTTCGAGTCAGGTTCATTGGTTTGAGCCCAAGTAGTTGGGAGTTTTCAGGAAGTTGTGTGGCGAGGTTTTAGTGTTTGGAAAGGGAAGGTTAAACAGGATCGCTGCGGGATGGCGGTAGCGATGGAGGTATCGTGGAGAGGGTCAGAGCTGGGTAGTCCAGTGTTGGAAGTAAAGAAAAAGCGTGCATGGGGAGCAGATGCTCAGAAACTGATGCAACTGATGATGGGACAGCTCCCGTCCGAGGGTGCGAAACAAGCAGCCGAGCCAAGCGTTACACTGGATTTGCTTGGCAAAGCCGATCCGCCCTCTTCTGGTGAAGTGAAATTGGAGTCGTCCTGCCTTGCTCCCACCTCGCCGGAGTTTCTGGAACTTGACCCCAGCGAAGAACCTCTTCCTTCCGTCTGGGAAAAATGCCTAGACCTCAAGGTAGATCCTCTCTCCGTCGTGAATTGTTCTCACAACTTGGAAGTGATGATGTGAGTTTCGTTTGCACAGGGGCTTGTGCGTGCATCTTAAGTCTGCTGGCAATTATTTGGATTGTTTACTTGTCTAGCGGTTGTAGCTCGCAAGAATGATTGAGTCTCTGGTTCTTATGGTAATTCCGTTCTGTGCGTGCAGACTGGCAAGCTATATTACGTTAACAAGTGCTCCGGCGTAAGCAGTTACGATGACCCCCGGATGCGGAGCAGCACAGAATTACCACTTGCCCATGAGTTTTTAGGTAGTAAGCAGTCCGAGACCCTCAGGCAAGAGTGTTTTAAAGCCTCGTCGTCTTCTTCTTCAGGAAGTCCCCGTAACAGTAGCCGACACCAGCGAGGTTCTCAGCTCTTGCCATTCTCTGCCCGCAAGCAGCAGTGGAACTTGCAGCTAGACGATCGCCGGGTTACCTTGAGCAACCGGAACTCTCCAGAATTAGCTGATGAACCTGAATCCCACTTGGAGTTGGATCTAAACTTGGCCGCTGGTGGTGCTTCCTCCGCCTCACGCCGTTACCAACAACAAACTGTGTGCACCATGGAGATGATCCAGAATGCATTGCAGAGAACAGAGTCCATAACCAATCTCGTCAAGAGGGAGTTTCTCTCGACTCAGCAGCATAAACGCTCCTCTTCCTTCTCATCCCTTAACTCCTCCCGGTCTGAGGCTTTGGGCGCCTCTCCTTCTACTAGCAGCTCCTCATCCACCTCCTCACGAACCGCTCACAGAGCAGGACCTGTGGACGAGTCACGACAATCCTTCAAGCTCTCTACAACAGGGTAAGCTTCTTATCACGTCACCCTCTCCCTAAACTCTACGCGCAACGACCAAAATCCCTCAGTTTTTGAGTTTCTGACGATGTTTTCCGATTGATACGTTTCAGGGTATGCGAAGCTGAGAGTGTCAAAGCTGAGAACATTGTCGCAGTCTCCTCGGCGCTTGTGATGGGAGCTTGCACACGGTGTCTCATGTACGTGATGCTTAGCAGAGATGACCCAAGATGTCCCAGATGCGAAGCTGAGGTGCCAGTAGACTTTGGCAATGCTCCGGTTTCTAAGAGACAAAGGGTAGGACCTCACTTTGGCTCGGATAGAAGATAGTGGTGGACGATTAGGACTCCACGAGTAGTTTAGGTTTTCGGACTCAATTTTGGGTTCGTTTCACAGGAACTGTCTTGGTTTCGTGTAGGAATCATATCTTTGCGGAGTTCTCAACCGGCTTGATCTTGCGGATTCAGAGGTCGAACTAGGGAGGTGTTTTGGCTAGAACTTGCCCAGAATGGGCTAAACGCATACTCCTCTTTTTGTACATTGTACATGTAGAAGTTTTACGTCTTGCGGCCTGCTCGTAAGTAGCAGCAGCAACAACTTGTACCATGGTTTCGTCACCAGTGCATCAACAATGATCACTCGTATCCTTCTCTACATCATTCTTGCGACCGTATTTTAACTACTAGCACGGTACATTTTCTTAATCTGGTGATGGTGGGGGTCAGGTAGTCTTGTAGTTTCTCGTCATGGTCAAAGAGCAATATAAACATGAGTCTCTCTACTCTCCATAAAACTGATGGATTGTGCCAACCTAAACCGTTTGCAGATACTGTTTTCAGCTTCTCCTTTAAACAGTTCTAATGTGCTGCTCATTTCTACCTCTTATCTTTTACTTGTCTCTGAAAGGGATGGGACTTGCAACTGCTTAAAACAAGCTAGATACTGATTTGTTTACTGCTATACACTAGGGTCACTGTAGGGAATCAACGCCACTGAATAATCTAGCTTTCATGTAATGCCCTTGTAAGCAATCAAGGTTTTCCGAAAGTTGAGTCTTTCGTCGTTACATCGAGTCATACACGTCAATTCATGTAATCAGTAGTTCTACCTTTCAAACTTACATACACTACCTCTATGTCAGTTCAACATCGCCTTCCAGATTCTCGAAACCTAATTTCATTTCTACTGGCATTATTATCTTTTTGTTGCGAAAAAAATCATCGCTTGTTACTTACTACCGAACATATGAGAACAGACAAGTCGGAATCATCACATGGGGATGTATAGCTAGGCAAGCAACACCAAGCCAATGATTTCAAGCTGGAAGGAAAGTGATAAGCTTGTGGACCCAGGCCATCAGTTCACGTTAGCACAAATTGTCGCTCCCATGTTTGCCACGGACCCAGCCTGAAAGCTCCCTAATATTGAACTGAACACCGACTATCAGGGTGGCGAAGTCGATATGTCAAAGGGGAGAACGAAGTTGCCATGCTATGTGCCTTTGGAAGTTACAATGAAGTTGCACTCATTTTACTAGATGATGTAGTGGTCAAAGAGGTGCACGAATGGGGCTGACAACGAAATTCTTTGATCGGAAAGAATGCGCTACAGTCAAGGGTGGAACAGCCACCACTGACTGTCCAGCTACCATCGACGGTAGTTAAGCAGCCATGTAAGCTCTAAAACTCTGCGACAATCGAGGAGGTCTATCGAGTGAGTCGCATTTTCTTTTCTTGATTTGTTTTTTTACATTTTCCACGTAAATATATGGCGAACCAAGTTAGTTGGGGCATTACCTCGAATTTTTCGTTAAGAAAAAGCAAGTCCAACTTTACTCCTGCACTGGGACGTGGGAGTTCTACTTCTACCAGCCCGTCACATCTTGGAGCCAATCCCATATTGAGCTTTTCATACTAGTTTGATGTCAACCACTGTGGAATTAGCTGGAATCTAGAAAATTCTCACTCGTCATGCCGCCCTTTAAAGAGACAGAAAAGCGTGCAAGAGCGCGATTGAAGAAAAGCTTTGCATGGCCACTCCCGCATGGTAATACCTGCTTTGGCAATGAGTAACGTGGGACGGAGCAGGGTGTGCACGACAGGGGAGTTCACAAAAAAGCTAATACAACCCATTAGAGAGACAAATGGAGGGCACTCATTCGTACAGAACTTTGTCCAGCTTGCCTCGAATGGCTCAATGTGAGCGTGTAAAACACATTACACGCTCCTATGTCATTGTGAAAGAAGCGAAAATACAGAAAATCCCACCTTGACCTAGCCCTACCAGTGTTAGCCACGGAAGTTACAAAACAAAAGTGACTGGCTGGAACTTGAAAACATGATCCAGGCTTCGCAAATGCTCGAGACTTTGCCCCGCTCACATCCAAGTTCTGGTGATGGGAAAGGATTCTACAGTCATTTTAAACGACGTATTTCCTGTGAGAAAAAAGACAAAAAAATAAAAATAAAAATAAAAATGACGCGGAGAAGGTACCACCCCAAGTTGGGAGAGGTTCGAAAGCGATGACCACATCTTCGTCGTAGAGTAGTAAGGATGGGTTTCGGATCAGACACAAGTTGCAATAACTCAGGGAGCCTGGGAGCCATAAAGGAAAAGGGTCCTAGGGAGGCGCAAAGTCCGACGACGAAGCAGGGCTCATGAAGGAGGTTAGATGAAACCTCATTAAACAAGCTCACCTCGAATCGCTGCACGTCAGATATCAGTAGTCTTAATTCAAGACACTCCAGTAAATCAACGCCCCTGTTGGTACACCCCAGTCTGCTGTTAGCTCAGTTTGTCCCTCCGCTCCCCCTTTACTTGCTTCTTCTAATCATCACAGGCTCTGGGGAGGCCGTTGGACGACCCCTTGAGCCCTCTTTATGAGCTTCCTTGTGTCAAAATGCCTGTGTACTTCCCCCTCGCAGCTCTCTACTATCATCCATCAAGACAGCCCGAGGGGGGGGGGGGCACCCAACTCTGCAACTTACTGGAAGAAAAGGAAATGAAAGCTGACGAAGTTATATTGCTGCTCAGGCGTCAATGAATTCAGGCTCTGTGATCTGTTATCCGCCTGCACAGGTAGGAAGAAGAGTGGGTTGGAATTACAGTCAAACCAAGGGGGACGACCGCTACTCACCCGGCCTTACGTTACACAGCCAAGGAATGTTCAACAGTCCTGATGCGCCGTGAATGCAGCCCCCTGAGCGCCCCTTGTCCATCTAAAGTTTCCAACCTGCTCTGTAATATTAGCAGCAGCATCAACTCTTCTTCTTCTTCTTCTTCTTCTTCTTCTTCCTCCTCCTCCTCCTCCTCCTTCTCCACTTCACCACCTCATTTATTACTTCATGTGGGATCTATAGTTACCATGGTGTGTGTGTGTGTCCCGCTAACTGGCCCCGATTGATTACTGCCATTGCTTCCGATCCGATCCGATCCCGTCCTCCTCCTCCTCCTTCGCCTCCGGCATCAGCAATATCGATATCTCGCTAGAATGGCCTTCGTCGCTGGCTCTTGCTTTGCTTTGTCTCCCCGTTTTGGACACGGAGGAGGCGGCGTAAACCCCTCCCTCGCGGTGTGAATAGAGCCGGCGAAAAAGCCTCTAGTTGACAATGTGAAAAGTGGTTAAAAATAACCTGAAATTTCACGAGGGCGAGTAATCGTTTGGCTGAATTGGTCGGGATTTCGAATCTCTCTAACGACAATTTTTCTGTATGTGACGGGCAGAAGCATATGGAGTTCTCTTGCAACCTCAATGCACCAGTGTGTGAGTACATTCGATGTAACTAGCTTAACACATGAAAACCAACCATGGTTAACACTTCAGTTGAATATATTTATATATATATATATATATATATAGATGTTATTTTTGTGTTGCATCGACTGAAATTAGTTGTATTTTTAATGATGTCACTATTGCCTACAATAATGTTAGAGATTATCAACATGAAAGCCCTTCGATGAAGTAGGTTGGAGTCACAGAATATGTTATTTAAAACCTACAGTTATTGTACTCAAAGGTGATATCAAGGGTTTTGTTTATTTATTTATTGATTTTTAATGTGTTTTCCTACTTTTAGAAGTGAAGGTATAATCTATTAAATAAATACATTTATATTAACTATTCTTTTGTTCTTTATCATCTAAACTTTTATCAAATCTTGATGCTTTAGATGTCGCATTTATTCTACAAATTTCTTCAAATAGTCAATGGTTGAGCTATGAAAACCAAGCTATGGTGGAGCTCGCAATTAATAAATTGGACTTTTAAGGTTGTCAATATCAATTAAATACATTATCTATTCAATACATGTATATGTTTGCAACATCTAATGCATACAAGGCTTTATCAAGATTTTTTCATCAAACATGTCATGGTTGCAATTTTTATTATGAAACATTGGTTCAATAATGTAATAAAGATGAAGAGATAGGATTAATATTAGAAAATATATATATACATTGTTGAGGTTAGGAAGTTGAGGTGCACAATATATATTATTCTATGTTTCTTTGGATATAATAAAATATTGAAAAAAATACACGTATACAGTTATAAGCATGCATTTTTATTATAATTTTACCTGCTCTGCATGTGTGGGCGCTAAAATTCCATCGTAAATTCGGTTAAACCTTGATTTACATTATTGTGTTTTGGATCCTTTCTTTCCACATTTATCTTTCGCTTCCACTTTCTTTTTCAATTTATATAATTATATTAAAGGGCTCTGATTTCTACACTGATAAATAAATAAATAAATAAATAAGAAATTATGATGAAGGTTTTCTTATGCATGGCTGGGCAATAAAGATCCCCCTCCTGGGAGTGCCCTGAGAACATAATGACTGCACGAAATTATGTTCCTCTTCTTGTCCCAGGCTTTGAAAATTAAATAATAGTATTGAATGAAGTTTATAATCCCACGGAAAAGGTACAAAACAACATTTAAAGTGCGTCCATGAATTTCATATAATATTTCACAAATTATATTTAATTATTTGTCGCTGCTTTCCAAAGGAGGGGGGGGGTTATGGAATCATGGCCACCAAGTCAGGGTTCTACCAAGGCCCCCGAAAAACAAAAAATACAAAATACAAAAGAAATTCTTATTTTACATTATTTGTTTATTTGTTTTGTTTGCCAGTTAAGATCATGGCTTCTATAATTGGCCGTGTAGAGAGGGCTCCATCCATTTTGAATTTTGTGCCAAGTCTCCCCCGAGCATATTCGAATTCTTCCATGCAAATCCTGCCTTTTACCTTTTTCTCAAAAAGTAAAAGGTCCTTTTGGCCGCTGAATTAGGGCATGGCCAGCCTTCGAGTAAAAGTGCCTCTCGAGTCCAGCTGTGCAAGGGAGGGTGAGTTGGCATGCATGCAAGCTTGTCCAGCTCGGATTATTCTGCCCCACGTGGACTTGTTAGATGATAGGATGGGTCGGACCAGTCTGCAATGAAAACTCCAACACATGCTGTAAACTATGACTTTTTATTTATTTATTTATTTTTCTAGAAAATGCTCGTACATATATACGTTGCTGCTATTGAAGAATAAAATTAATATATATATATATATATATATATATATATATATGTATGCTTTAAACAGTTGGATGTTGAGCCTAGAAATTTTTGTTTCTAAAGTAAGAAATGTCAACAAAATTTTAATGAAGTGCACAAATTGGCAACTGGCTTGCATGGAAGACTCCAACAGTTCTCATGTGAAAAATGGGGAAGACATCATTATATTTTATCTTTTTAATCTTTTAAATTTTTTATGTGTTCCATCCCATATATGAGAGAATCATAACATAATTGGGGCTAGTTTGTTTTCATTTTCATATAGTCTCAAGAGTGGCAAATCATTCGGTAATTCAGAATATTCCTTTCTATCATTTCTGTGAAGTCATTGAACACAAAAAGACACTGAATCACACAAACAAACAAGTTGATACACACTAACTCAGAGAGAACCAAGGCTGCCCACACATGAAAATTTATTTGTTTTAACTCGGTCAATTATGTTTTATACTTAAAAACCTCCATTAAACCACATGGCATTTATGATGCCACCTACCTTCATCCCAATATTTAACACCCTATTTTATCCTCCCCTGCACAAACACACCAACATACACCCCATTCTTTTAGTTTGTTAAAAAAAACGTTCAAAGACAAAATATAGTCTATGGTTATTGTTTAACATAATTACTCATAATTAGTGTACTTGTTTACAAGCAAATGCTTCAAAGTGATTTCATGTTCGTTAAATCACAAACGTTTTCACTCACGATAATTTAAATATATATTTTTAATAATAATTTTGAATGGAATGAAAATTATTCCTCATGTCAATTACCTTTATTCTATAAAAAGTATTTACACATTTTCATTAAATATCTTCACTGTATTTGAAATCACTAAATTTATCAAGTAATATTTTATTCAACTATTATAATATTTTTTTTGGTATGTAAAAATAAATAAATAAATGTTTATTTATTTATTTACATAACTGTATTAAGCTCACTCCCAAAAATTATTTTCTTTCAGCTAACTTATTTATACTTTAGATTGTACTAACCCTAATTTTTTAATGCAAACGACATTCTATATTTAAATAATCAGAATATATATATTTGTATTTATATTTATATATTTATAGTGCATTATTTTACTAGATACTAAATTAAATGCGGAATACAGGAAAACCCAACACAGTTTAAATGAACAAGCACGTCAAATCCTTCAACATCAATAAAAGTCATTCATCCGTTCCATGAAACATATCGATATCACGTTCATCAAACGACCCATAAAAGAATACCAGGCGACTTTAACTTTTATGGTGTGGTTGCCTTTCCACCCCCTCCGTTCCGGTGCTTTACATCGGCCTCACCACCTTTTACCTTTTACCTTTTTCGGGAGGCAGGCCGTAACTCCGACGGAATGAAGCGCTGCTGCTGCGGCATTCATGTCGATGGAATCCCCATTCAAAGCCCTTCCATTTATGGCCGCGCCATGGAATCCCCTCCGCAGATCCGAGAACTGTGACGGAGTTTATCACGCCCCACAGAACTTCCAAACTACAACCCACAACTCACAATGGCCGATTCCTTCGCCAAGATGCGCCTCCGACCGGCAAGGACAAAGGTATTACGGCTCATTTATGTGTGCGCGCAATTGCATGGGATTTACACCGGGGTGCTCGTTGATATTGAGCGTAGATCGGCGTCATCGCGAGCTCTCAGTTATATATGTACACATTCACTCACTCACGCACGCACGCACGCACACACCTTTTCGTCGTCGTTCGCTTCACGGAGAGAACCAGAGACTGGACGCCGAACTGGATGAGAGACCAATGGGAAAAGAGTCGGAGATCATGGATTGGAGATTATCTGTCTTGCAGATAGCTCGAAGGCGTCGAAGGAGCCTACGAAAGGCACCACCACCGAGACATGAAGTATTTGCTAGCGAATCAACGCGGCGAGTAGGCTGCAGTTGTTGTTGCAGCTTCTGCACCTGAGAGGGGATCGCGGGTTCCAGCTCTTCTGAAATGGTTTATGTCGATCCATCACTCCCTTCGATCACAGATAATCTTCACATCGTTTTCCGCTTCACCCAGATTTTTTGGTAGTATACACAATCGGAATGTGCTGGTAAGACTAATGACGGCGCTCATGTTCTGGATTATTTTACTTGAATGCTGTCGGTGATTTAACGCACATTCTCACAAATCGTCATTTTCAAACGAAGTCCACAAACACAGTATTGCAATGTGGAATACTTTGCCTTGACACACACAGCGCTGTTGGGCACTCGTGCCTATTGGCATCATTTTTTATTTTTTTTTAGAAGGAAGCTGATAGAATGGCCGATAGATTAAAGCTGTTTCATGCATTGGACATCCATTTAAATTAAATTTATTGTCAAAACTTAGATGTGTGCTTCACAAAGTTGATGTAAAATATTTGCTAACATGTTGAAAGGAGTATGAAATTGCCTACATGTCATAAAATATACCTGGCATGTGTGAAGTGTATTTTGTTTGTTATATTGTACAGAGTAATTGGTCTTTTTCATTGTAAAATCACATCCTGGGTTTACTAGGTGAGATGTTCTTATGTCACATGCACATACCAATATAGAAGTACTTCTCATGATCCAAATGTGCGTCGATTAGAAAAGACAAATTATTATGGTCATTCAAAAGTGTAAGTTTATACATTGTTATTGTTCAGAATTCTATGATAATAATAGAAAGCCTTGTTGAGCATAGAACATTGATATGAATTCATACAACAAAATATGACTAACAAAATTCAAATGTTGATTTTGTAATTGGTTTTCTACTTCTCAATGAATGGTTGTTTTATTTTAAATGACCATTTAATTGAAGTGTTTTAAGTATTTCAGAATGCAATTGCGCTTCTTGCAGTTGTTGTCGTGTTCAAATTTTTTGTTGACAAATGTCAAAAGCCATTAGTCTTGTAGACTCATTAGTTGCAACTTTTACATCAATTTTTGGAATTTTTCAAATAAACACTCAACCATATCACTTGAGATTACTAGTAAGTGTGTATATACTCATGTATACACATACATGCCTACTCATAATCAATAAGGAATTTTACTTTTATTTCTGCCCACATTATACAGCCTAAGCAAACAATATTTATTTTAAGCATATATATAAATATATCACATGTATTCCAAGTCAATAGGTTTTTTTGCTTGTTACAATGGCAACATGACTTTGTTGCATTTCTTGAAGACACTCTTAAAAGAGTATATGTTAATTCAATGATCATGGGCATCTAAACTTAAACTACACATCCATGAATTGAGGCAGGACATAAAGTATGTCCACCAACAACAAATGTGTCCTACTACATCTTTGTAACCATCTTTCCCTACCTTTCCCAACTTAGACAAAATAATTTTGCATTGAAGCTCTAAGTCAGCTTTAAAATGAAATAGCGGTCATTTCAAATGTGCCTCAGGTTCGAAAGGCACTACTTTTAGTGCAGAAGAAACGTCAACTGCAGGGTTCGAACCTGCGCGGGGGAACCCCAACAGATTTCAAGTCTGTCGCCTTAACCACTCGGCCAAATTGACGATTGATAGCAGTTTCGAAGTAAATAATTTTATTGAACGATTCTTAATCTTAGAAGTTTTGTTCTTCGGTCACATCATGCAGCAGCTACGCTTCCCAGTGCTTCATGAGGCATCAGCTGTACATAATACCTGTCAGGCTTTGAGTTCAGAAATGCAGTATAAACAGGAGGAAATAACACTACTAAACCTGATCATCTTGGACAAGTCTTCATCAAAGTAATTAAGCAATTGTTGTATCTGTAAGAGCTTTTCCAAAAATTTTAAGCTCTATTTCTTGGGCTATTAAACAGTTGTGAGCAATTTTTGTAGGACTCCTTTCCTTAATATATGTGATGAGTTAAACCCGTAGAGACTCAAACGGAAGCCATCCCTCCACTGCTACATACAAAAACATGGATCAAATGAATGAACAAAAAGACATGTTAAGTACATATATACAGAAATGGAGGAAAGAAATAAAGAGAAAAGAACCGCGACGCGTTTCAGAAGTATTTGCTGCCTGTCCAAAAAAAAAGATAATAAGGAAACATGTTACAATATCGTAATGTTCACAAGGAGTGATATTATGTTTTCTCCTAACAACTATCGGATCTTAAAATTAGGGTCTGGGTACTAACTGTGGAGATCGGTTTAGATTCCATCATCAATGGGTACTGCAGCGTTCAATTCCTAGGAATTAAGACCAGCCTGAATATATCAAACCCTCCTTGCGTACCAGGTAAGAAAAAAGGTCGGGGCTAATCTCCCAAAACAATTGGATGAAGCAATTAGTCGATGAAGTCGGTGTCGAAGAGAAGTGCAAATGCTACAACCGTCAAACTTTACTATTACTCCTAATAAACCCTGACTTCGGATAAGGGCATTCTGGCCACGAACCTGGATAGTCGACTGATAATCCTACCCTCTACATACGACCTTGCGCCTCCTCGTATTTACAGCAACTGGACTGCAGCGATCATGGGGATTTTCTCCCTCAACTTTTGAGTGACGGCGACCCGAACTGTCATCACTGACGCAGCTGGCCCCCCAAGCCTCACCTTCACCACTGGCCCATCAATTTTAACTAATTCAAGCTCGCCTCCTCCAGTACCTACCAGATAGGGTCTTATCTCTCCAAGAACCGCTTCAACATTCTCTTCTGTAAGTGCAAGGCCCGTCTCTTCGTCCATGATCTGTTCAACAGCAACGATTTCTGGTATCCTCTCAATTAGACGGCGTTCAATCCCCATCCTCATGGTCATCGTCGAGCTAGGGCAAGACCCGCATGCACCTTGCAACTTCAATTTTACAACCAAACCGTCGATTTCGTGAAGAGCAACGTTCCCTCCATCCGATATCAGATACGGTCGCACCTCATCCAAAACCAATTCCACGTTCTCTTCCGTCAATTCCAGACCCTCCGTCAGTACGTCTTCTGTGGCAACTGCTTTCACTATGTTCTTACCATTCCCTTGGCGTGACTCAGAGCTAGGCGCTCGCAACTCAAAAGCCGCGGAGACACTCGCCTTCTGTACGCTCAACCTGTTCGCTCTCAAATTCACAGACTCCAAAGCACGAACAACACGCTTCCCTGTGAGCGGAGGCGAATCCTGATGTGAGTTCCATGTTGCACCATGCGTCAGCCTGGTCCCTAACACTGCCACAGTGTGAGCTTGCGCCAAGACTGCTGGTGTCATATTTGCAAACCTCACCCCCTGTATTAAACCAAAAACACCTTCAGAACCAAAATCCTCTCTCATTCCTCACACGCACGCCGCACGATAATAACCCAAGAGGAAAACACGCTCAAAACACTCAAAGTTCCGCAGAAGACAACTACAAATTACCGACACCACCTAAAATCTCCGTTACACAAGCTCTCTGATCTGTACCAACAACCACTGATCCCTGCCTCAAAACCACTCCATCTCAAACAACATCAAATCCCTGCCTCTTTTCCCACTTCCTCCTCCACACACACACACACACCGCCGTCCTGTAAAATCAATAAAACCCTAACCCAAGCAGGGGACAAGCATGCGCAGAAAAACGACTCACCTCCTTTCGAAGCGGCGATGGAGCGGCAATTGGAAGAGGTCCTACGCAGAGACGAATCGAAAAACACAGCGCCGAATTGGCAATGCAAGGAAGCAAGGAAGAGTGAGTGAGAGAAAGCAGCGGTGGTGCTGGTGGCGTAGATTGCTTGGCAGAGGAAGGCAACGATGATGCAAAGGAGAAGAAAGGTGCGACGAGAGCGGGAGACTTGATTGAGTCAGTAGTGTTTGGGTTCTGGTTGTGGTGGCTTCCAGAGCCACGGAAACCACGACCGATGAAATATCGGGTGACGGGGAGAAAGGGCTGCGGATGGGCACTTCCCCATGGGATCCCCTTTTAGCTTCCCAGGCCTGGGCTGGACTGGGCCAGGCCAGGATTGCCTTTTTCGCTACGGTGCTTACGTGGCTGGAGGTGCAACCCCGCGCGGATCTTCCCTTCGCTCCCTCTTGGCGGGACGCTACGAAACCCCATCTGCTCTCTCCCCCCCCTCCCCCCCCCTCCCCCCCCCGCCGAGTCGCATCGTGAACGCGGTATGTCATGTCAGCACTCCACGTCAAACCGACTCTCTTGGATGGGGATGGATGGATGAATAAAGTTTTGGAGGTTTCAGCGGTGGCAGTTTTTTCGTCTGTCTTGTAATATTATCTCTTTTCTGAATATTAAAAAGTATTTGTGTTCTTGAAGTTGGAGTCTCAACTTCACCGGATTTTTGTGCATTAAACGTTGCAGTGGGGCAATTGAATTTTGTGAAGTAGGAGTGTGAATTTTATTTTATTTTATTTTGGAAATGGCGTAAAAATTTAGAGGGACTTGGAAGTGAGTTACATGTATATTTTAAAAATATGTCAAATTTAACGTATGTCAAGTAATACGGATAAAATGTCAACTTTTTAGTTGCCAACTCACTTGGAAATCACAAAGAACTAGTATTAGTGACAGAAACATTGTTTGACAAAACTTTCTTTTTTCGTTGCTTATTAAGTTATATAGAACAAGACAGGGCCATTTTATTATCAAGCTTTTAGTTTATATATATTTTTAATTATGCTTATGTGCTTTCAAATTAGAATTTATCCCTCATTTTTTCACATTCAAGTCAATAAGCTAATTCTGAGTGAGTAAAACTATTCTTTCATTCTCAACATCATTTCATCCATTAAGAGTAAACTAGGCATTTTATCTCGTGTTTCACATTTCTCAATCCAGTTCATTTTTCTGCTCTCACCAATTGCAACCACTCCCTCTCTTGTTATCTATCAATGAGTATAAGAAATTAGAAATTGATCACACTCTCATGAAATTGGACCTTTTGTTGACCTTGATTAAGTCCAATTTCAGCATTTAACCTTTTGTTGACCTTGATTAAGGTCAACAAAAAGTTAAATGCTGAATCAAGGTCAACAAAAGGTTAAATGCTGATAGTGATCTTCGCTTGACGAAACTTCACTTATCTCAAACATTTTCTTTGACAGAGTCTGATCTGTTCACCAATAGTAACACGATTTACACAACATGTTCAACTGAAAAGCACCGGACGTTAGATAACACATTGTTATTTAGTCATGAAGCTCACAACATAAGCAACTTTGCTGTGGGACATTAAAACTATGCTAAGTCTAATGTGGACGTGCAAAAACCGAGGGTTTGGGCCATATCCAACATTTGTGGTTATCCTTACCTATTCATCGGATTTCCTGTGCTCTATCAGGATAATCTTCCCTCAAATCTGCAACAATTTTTCATTTGAATCTTCTTCACGTGTATAAGATCATAGCATTTGGAAAGCAGGATCCCATGTGTATTCAAGCAACCACTCCCTCACTACACCGTGATGTAATGTAGGATTGTCAGTGACAAATGGTTTTAAGAGCATTCCAGAAATAAAACAAACGACTGCTACAGTGACTATCGGTAACTCGTTAGAAAATATCAAAGATTCTTAATGTGTAGGCAGGGAAAATGGTGCCTTATCTTGTTCAATGGAGAAGGTCCACAGCACAGCATTGTCTAACTTAATAGGTACACCTTGTAACGAAGTGTAAATACAAGGTGAACGGCAGTTTCTTGATTGAAAGAACAAGGAGGTACATGATAATCGATAACACAGAAAATACTTAAATGCTACCAGTTGGAAAAATGGACGTCATATATTGCGAAGCCCTTCACAGTCTCACTCAGCACATGGTGCTCAAACTGCAATGTTCAGTATGCCAGTCCTACTATTCATAGAACTAAGCCGCAGTGACGGCGATGCGCCCTGCTACCTGATCCAAATCCCGCTGTCCATCAGAAGTAATGCGCCTTCCTCTGCACACAACCAATCAAAATGCTTAGAAAACTAATACCCTGTGGCAGGAAAGAGGTAAACTAACCCTACTAACTTGGATTCATGGAAGAATATACTGAAGACCGACTATTGGAAAACCTCGCCACAGCATGCAGTTGTATCTAAAAATAAACAATGACAAATCGAAGGTTATACGGACTACTGTTATTCAAGAGACTTACAGACATCAATCTAAATCTAAATAACGCTACATAATTTCAAACAAATATTCATCCACTTAGAAGTAAATTATTTCTAGAAAAAGCACTGAACTGCACCCCTTGAAAGTTATGCGGTCATTAAACCCTGAAGAACACTGCTAACGTTTGATACTGATAGAGGAGAGCCAGCAATGCACATCGCTAGAATCCACAAGTTCTAATCAAGTAGTGAATAAAACGCCAAACTAACCCCTTGGGATCCTTCTCGACGATGTTAAGTTGCTCGAGCTGCTTCAGGCAGTGCCTGGCAATTGACCCACTGCTCTTAGCAAAGTGGGATGGCCTAACTCCATTACTCTTGCGGCCACCATAAATCTTCTTGAAGGCACCCACTCCAATTCCACCTCTCAGGTAAATCTTCCTTGCCATGGAGGCTACAATACCAATAAATACATTAACGTAGTGAGCTTCAATGGTACTCTGAAGTACATCAATGATGTACAACCGCATTCAGCAGGACGCATACAGGCAATGCTACCTTGAAAATTTTCGTTAAGCACCTAAGAGAACTGCAAAACCCTGATAGATACGCCAATGAAGTACCATAATGCAGAAAGAGAAATAACTGAACAATCCTTCGATATTCAAAATGAACCACAGGGTCACTGAAAAACCAAGTCACTCAAGTACATACCAGCTCTGACGTAGTACCAGTCAGCATCATAGGGAGCTAATTCCTTGAATGTAGCAGTCTTCACAAGGTCAGCCCAGGCAGGAACTTCAATCTGCAAAAAATAAAAATAAATAAAAACACATACACGCCCCAAGACTCTTAATTCTTGCTTTACCCACAGCTACTGGTCCTACCCCAATGCAAAAACACCAACTGCACGCCCCTGGTCCCAAAACCCTAAACGCGCCTCTCACATTCTCATACACCATCGACGATGGTGAGCCTCAAAAATAAGTGGAGAACCCTGCTCCCCACATTCCATTGCACTGAAACAACAGCGAATAGCCTCCTCATTTCCCGTGGGGGCACAATGCCATGCAAGATCACCAAGGTCCACGCCCAAAAAACGCACAAACGAATTTGCGTCATCGAGACGACTCCTCTACAGCACGAGCTCCTACCTTGCCAGAGCGCTTCAAGTGAGCAGCATAGTTGCGCACGAACTCGTGCGAAGGTACATCTTTAACCGTCTTGGCCATGGTGAGATTCTCTGCGACGATGGGCGCCCTGCAAGCAATCTGGCTCGTAAGGGCAGAGGAACTCGCAGACGGAAAGGGTTGAGCTCCGAGGCCACCTCGTGCCTTTCACCCACACCTCCTCCAAACCCTAATTATCAACGGCCCGATCTTGCCCCAATACTCGCATCCAACGGCGGAGCGCGGCCCTATGTCTTCTTCGTCGTCGTCGTCGTCGCCATGGACCAGAGCTCGCTCTGCTTTGAAGTTGTCTCTCAAGGGATTCGAATTTGGGGCCATACTTAGTCAATTAATTGTAAATAATGTGATTAGTCTAAAATTCATTGAATCATTGTGTGATTTCATGGTATTTGTAACACACCCCCTTGGACACAAAGCACATTTGTGGGTGGACCAAAAATGAGACTTGGAACTCCACTTGGAAGAAAAAAAAAGCTTTGTGCTATTTTTTTATTAATTTTTAATTTTTATTTTGTTCCCTAGAGAATTGTGGGTTCAAAATATCCATGTGGTGTGGGCTTGAGAAATAAATATTGGGTTGTCTTTGATCTTGGGAATGGCATGTTAGACAATTCTAAAAGCTTGTGAGTGTGTAATTGGGAACTGGATAAACTATTACTTTTCAACCGGTGTTGTTTTTGTTTTTCTAAAAGAATTGTTGATTGTAGATAAATTTCTGTGTGTGTGTGTGTGTTTTTTTTTCTTTTTTTTTTTTTTTTTTTTAAATGTAAAAATTTAAGTTAGTTGACAATGATTTACTGGTTCCCCAAAATTATGCACACACATGGAAAAGATATACATAAACATAATAGTGAGTGTCTTATGGCCCTTATTTTGTGACAAAGAAAAACTAAAGGTTGGGATTTGTGCAATAGAGAGTGAAGCATCACCTTTATTGAATGATGTCAAAGAAATATCTTTTTCTTAAAATTTATGAATATTTCTTTAAAAAAAAAGAGAGTCTTTTGGTGTTGTATTGCATTTTTTGGACAATGAAACATTTCATAAGAACAAGAATTTATTGCATTTTTCTTTTCTTCTTTTCATGTACATTTAATTGTATTAGATTGATTGTAATTTTTTAAAATAATATGCATAATATAAAATAAGATATTTCTATAGTATAATTATTGTGGTAGAATTTCTTTAGATTAAAATCTATACATCCACATGGCCTATTATTCAAAAACAAACTTATTATTGTAATACTACTAGTGAAAGCCATTAAAAATATAATTACACTAAATATTGATGTTGAGAATGTAATCTATTGTAATAAATTCACTTAATTGAGATTAAATGTATTATTGAAGAAGAAACAATCATTTATGCAGTATGAGTGTCTTGCTTAAAGAAGCAAAACATTATTGAATATATACTTATCCAACAACTTAGTAGTACAACTATTTCTATAATTCAAATGAGATTCACACCTATACACTCTAGGATCATACATAAGATCTCTAAACTACTTACTTGTCTAACCATCATATGGAGACATATAAGTGTTCCATATTTTAAAAAAATTAATAGTACATATAATTTAGTAACATAAAAACAAAAATAAAATTATTTAATGCATATTCTAAAATATTCTTTATATGTAAATTTTAGCTTATATTAACAAGATATAAAAATTCAATTTCCACAACATTTGAATAAAGAAATTATATTGTCTATTAAATAAAAAAATCAAAGATTGAACTTATTTGGCCTTAAATATGAATTTTAATTGCTTTCAATTGTTTTACCATATAACAAAGGACGTAAAATTTTAAAACCACTTAAATAAAGACAACTTAAAAAATTAATTTTAAGTGTTATTGTCTTTGTATTTAAGTATAATATCTAAAGAATAATAAAAACAATATAATATTTTTGTAATGGAAAATTATCTGGGAAGAATCTTCAAAATCAACTTTAAAAAATAAAATAAAATACAATCTTTTACTCACTTGCATTCAGCAAAAGATTAATATATATAATTATACGAAAGTTTGTTCCTGTTTATTTTATTTTATTTTATTTTAAATCCAAGTCATTGTGTACTAACAAAGATTTTACAAAAAATGTTTCTTAAATATTATATACAATACTTATTCTAATAAATTATTTGTTTGTAGCAATAAAATATGTTTTAGTTACTAATAAAATAAATAAAACTTTATTTATTTATTTATTTATTATTATTATTAAAGAACAAACTTGAGTAATTGCAGATATTGTCATAGTACCTCTCAAACATAAAGATTGTTTTGATATCTAATATTGCAAAATCATCATTATTCTATTAGTAACAAAATATGAAGTTTATAGCATATATTTATAACTATGAGTGAAAATATGAGTAAAAATATGAGACATACATATTTAAATTAAAGATGTATGTATGTATGTATATATGTATATGTATATATATATATATATATATATATATAAAGATGTCATTAAAGCAAAAAAAAAAATATTATATTATATATTATGTTTAATAAAATTGAAAAAAATAAAATAAAAAATATATATTATAAATTAAGATTGAATTAAAATTTTATTGAAAAATTATATGTAATTTAGAATACTCAAAAAGAAATTGATACACAAAAGCATGTTAGCAAAACAGATGGGATTTTATTTTGTTCACATTATTTGCTGTTAGAAAAAACTAAAAATAATCCTATACAACCTTTTAAAACTTAGTACCTTAGGACAAAATAATCATATCTATTGCTGAAAAGTATAATTATATGCTACTTAATTTTTTTAGATAAAATTTATCTAATTTATGCATATATTAAATAACAACTTTATAACTTCTTATAATTTCTAAGTCATGAATTTAAATACAATATAACTAAAAGTTAAAAATAAAATCTATAAATTTTTAAAGTTATACATTAGGTTAATTACTTTATATCTTACCCATTTTAATAATCATATATATTTTAATTTTTCTAAATTATTAATGCTAATTTTAAGCCAAATTTTGAAATTTATATTCCAAATCTTATATTACCATTTTATAACTTATTTTTTGAAAAACTCCAATATGTTCTATGTTATTACTTAAACTTTTGAATATTAATAAGAAAATCATGTATGAAAAGTATCTTTTGAAATCCTTTTGAATCATTGTGGTTAATTAATTTAAATTATATCATGATATTTTTATAATATATAAGACAAATATTTTACAACCAAGTCTCAACTCCAAACTATAAAGTTTATGTTAATACATTGAATTACAACTCTAAAATACTCATATATATACTCATATACTTATTATTTTTATGCATAATTTTTCTTGGTTTCATTTTAATATGTAACCTTCATTTCTTTTAGAATTTAAAATTTAAATAATTTTTAATGCAAGTTATCATTTTCACTAGTTTTTATCAAGACATGTTTTCAAAGTGAAATATGTACTTCTAATTTTATGTCTAATTTATAAATTAAGTAAATCATATATTAAAAATATCTAATATAATATGAAATATTTAGTTAATGGTGTAGTATAGCTTCAAAACACTAAACATGTAATTTTTATATTTATTATATAAATATATTTTTAAAAATATATTTATTTTAAATAAAAGCTATATTTTTTTATTATTTATTGAAATATATGTATATATATATATATATTCACAATGTTCTTTTGTTTAAAATTACATAGAAGAAGTTATTTTTAATTAATTTATTTTAATATAAATAATATTATATTATAGTTTATTATTTATAATACCAAAAAATATGATATATTTTTTATAAAAAATTATGTAATAAAATCTAATGATAATCATAAAAAACATCATCTATTTTTAAAATTAACAAGATTTGCATAAGTGTTGTCTTTGCTTTCATATTGTGAATTTAATTTAACTAAAAAGAATAATTTAAATCCTTTAAAAGTTATACATGTATATTTTCTACTATACCTACATTGCAAAATATTTTTTGTGATTTAAACATGCTTAAGTTAAATGTTGAAAGTTCAAATATAGGATTTTATAAATACATTTTAAATACATAAATAAATATATTAAATCATTAGTATTTTAAAACTTAATAAGGACTAATAAGTGACCTTAAATAATCATATCTATTTCAATGGAAAGAACCATGTGTTATGGATATACTAAATAGGAAGCCAAACAAGAAGTTGAATTCAAGAGTTTAGATAAGAAAGTTAATAAAATCTTGATTAAACTAGATGAATACGAGATCAACACTAAGAAAGGTAAGCTAAAACTCCAAGAGACATGTTGTTGAAATTGAAGATTCCCTCAACCTCGACTCCAATATATACTACATATTAGGAAGTTTTTTAAAAAGTTTCCATGCTACTTGAAGATGAAGCAACCTTAGGAAGCTTCTCAAACAACTTTCTTAATCATCCTAGTACTTTCTAGAATCTGCAAAAATATTCAAAGAACCTTCTAAAATATTATAAGAATATTTATAGAATCCTTTGAAACCTTCCAAAATATTCTTAGAATATTCTTGGTGGATGTTTGTAATACTATGAAAATTTACATATTTTATTTAACTAACTTTATAATTATAATATATGAACTTTTAGTTTCTAAATGTACATTTTTTGGCTTATATATTTAATTAAGTCTTTTGAAATCTTTGGTTAAAATAATAATAAACTTAAGATAATAAGTTTATTATTAATATTTTACTTATTGATAACATATGTTTTATACATTATGTATGTAACTCATTATTATTATTCTTTTTAATGTAAAAAATACAAGAAAAAACACCATTCTCAACAAACTTGTCTATGTTGTTTGCACACTTGAGAGCAAGATCTCAAGTTAGGCAAATGAGAGAAGAAAACAACAAAGGGAACTAGCATGGGAATAGAGCCACATGGTGAAGAGAAGAGGCAACCAAGCCACATTTAATGCAAGTTTCATTTTTCACCAAACAATGAGTTACATACATAATGTATAAAACAAAACACTTCCAAAGGACATTCCCCTAAATTGGGACATTTAGGGTAAGATATTCACCCATCCATCCACGACATAGTGGAATTCACCCAACTCGCTGCCTTGCACAAGCAGATGGGCAACAAGTTGAGCAAAGCCTAAGTTCATATGAATAAAATGTGAGATCACAAACTAAAAGTTACCCAAAATGGGGAAGACTAAGGCAAGTGATGAGGAGATTCCAATTGTATTACAATTATTCAGGATTCAACTTCGATGCAATGGAATGAAAGCATAGGAATGCTAATCACCGTGCCACGGTGATAGGAGGAGACGGTCGAGGAAGGAAGGAAGGCAGGAAGGAAGTGTGGGGATTAGGAAGAATGAGGATTGGAAGCAGAAGAACTTGGGTGGCAGAATCAGCAGCAATTGGAGCAGCAATTCATGGTGAATATGCCATCGACATGTTCATCTAAGCTGCTGTTCAGTTGTCAGAAGTAAGTAAGAATAAGAAGAAGTAAGAAGAAGAAAGAATAAGCTGGTTGCTGCTGGTGCTGCAGCAACGCATCGTTTCCAAAGGTGATGACGACAAAGCCACTGCGAAGAAGAAGGCCGAAGAAGTAAGGAAGGAAGGTAGCAGCCGCTGAAGCAGCAGCCAAAAAGGAGGAGGAGGGTGCAGGAGCAGCATTCCTACCTACATACAGGGTTGTTGTTGTTGTTGATGTGGGTTCGTGGGTATCGGCACTGCCGGTAAAGCCCGTGTTTGCTTCAGCTTCGCGTGACTACGACTGCTGCTGATGACGTATGATCCAGTGTGAGTGTGTTTGTGGGTTGTCTTCATTCAACGAATGGGCTTCTACTTCTTCTTCTTCTTCTTCTTCTGCTTCTGTTGCTGTTATTGAAGGAGCTTGGCCCCAGGAGGCTTGTCAGTGCGAGGTGGGTGGGGTCGGGTGTAAGAGGAGAGGGCCAAGGGGGAAGTGGGGAAATGAGACGATTATCAGGGTTGTAGGTCGTGACGTGATTCGCGTGAAAGCGATTTCTGGGCTCCATCGCCGTTGTATGGTTTTGCAGGTGGGTACAGTTGCTGAAATGATGGAAGAGGTTGCGAGATCATGGTGGCAGCTGTGTGTTTGTGTGTGTGTGTGTGTTAAGCGTTTTGGAATTTTGATATGGCGATTTAGGTTTTCTGCAGTGGCGATGCTGTGTGCGATGTGTCAATTGTGAGGAGTTTGGATACGGAATTTGAGGAGTTGACAATTGAAGTGGATGCTGTGATGGCTTGAGGATAGTTTCAGTGATGTGGGTTTGGTGTGGTGGTGGTGGTGGCGGTGGTTACAGGCGAGGTTAGGCGGAGGAAAGATGAAAGATTTAAATATGGGATTGGAGAGTCGAGGGGACCTGATGAGGAAGCTGGATGATGATACCGCTATGCACTTACTCCAGTATTTGGACACGACGAAGGATATTGCCAGCGCTAGCAGCGTCTGCCGTTCTTGGCGTTCGTTTGGTCTGTGGTGTTGATCTCTCTTGGTCTTAGATTGTATGCGTGCTCTCGTGTCACTGACCATGCTGATGCTTATGAGGTCCATGACTTGATCAGTTTCAGGACTGGCATCGATTTCCTAATTGTGAAAGGGATCTTCCTGATTTGTTCGATATTGGCGAACTTTCACTTCAGTTCCTGTTCTCGTGATCCGCAGTCTTTGTTACGGTTGCGTAGATGCGGTTGTGATTGTCCGATTCGATGAACTAAACGAGCTGTTGTGTCGAGCGACTATAAAGTTAGTATCATAAAAGTTGAGTTTCGATGGATGAATTGGCTGCTCGTTCTGCTCGAGGGTAAATCGAAGTTTGTGGATGCGTCAAGGCTGGAGTGATTGGGATACCTTCTTTGGAGACTATTAGAAGCTAAAATTTGATTCCGCAGGGTATACATGTTGGATCTGGTGTTAACACGGTTTCTTCTGTGAGGACGCTGTTCTGCTTTCTTTATCAGATATAGCTTACTTCTTAAGAGTTCCTTTATACACTGGTCTTTTAAGCAATTGTTTTATAGACAGGTACTACAGTCATTTTGGGCTTGTGGGGATCTTTATTTTTTATTTGTTGTTGTCCCTCTCTCGACATTAAAAATGGACACACGATAATGATAACTCCCGCTAAGGTGTTATCGTGACGGACATTCACGCCCTTCTTACTCGTGTTTATCTTGGATATTGAAGATGAAAGTGCAAAGCACGTAGGAAAGCGACCATTTAGTTCCTGTCATTCACGCAAGTTTCCCGTTAAGCAAAATGAACACTTAATCAACTATGTTAAAGTAGACTATGATTACCATGTTGAGGTATTGGGACAGTGGTCTGGAAAACAAGGGATTTATGGCTCAATGGGTTTTGTTACATGGTTTTGAAAGTTTCAATGTGAGTAAGTAGTCAGTCCATCACAGGATGTGTTATGGTGATTCTAATAGTGTAGCAACGTGCAGTACGAGAAGGTCAGCTGTGGAAAGGACTATGTTTGAAGGAGTTTCCTGAAGTGAGGACATTCGAGGAAGACATCGAGGAAGATCAATCGAAGGATCTGCCTCCAGCTGGCTCTTGTGGTTCATCTGTTAAGCCAAATCTGGAGAGGAAAGAGCGCATCTATCGAGATCTCTTTCGAGAACTTAGAAATAAACCAATGGATAATAAAAGTTGTATTCGTGAGGCTGTTAGTGCTTCTAGTACAGACAATTACCCCGAGGAGAGTATTGTTCAGACCTTACATCCTAGGCCTCGGTACCATGATGAGCAAACGCCATCTTATTGGTCGAGTACCGGTCAGCGAGATGTCAATCACCCTGAAACCCTTACCTACAATCTGGTGTCACAGCTATGTGTGGTCCATGAAGTACGTATTCGGCCTTTTAAAGGTATCGTGAAATCTGTGTATCTGTTTCTCGCAAAGTGTATTGTACGCAATTCACTTTCATTGCTATTTATCTTGATGTTTTTAATGTTGAAGTTGGTTGCTAGAATTTTACTCACGTGTCGCCTACATCAATTGAGGTATACTGAAAGCGTATTTTACTTTCATCTATGTTAAAGCGTTTTTCCAATTCGGGCAGCCCATATACTCAGCGAAGAACGTGCGGATTCGTCTTGGCCATGTAGTCAAGTCAGCTAAGACTGACTGTGATTCTGGAAGTACAAAAGATTATGTGTGGACTTATGAATCTCCAATATTCAACATGGAACAGGTTATTGATTGCATCCGGTTGAAGTTTTGTTGACACACACGTATACTAGGTTTTAAATGGTGTTTTAAGATGGGTGTCATGATAATTGGTATAGTGTGCCTTTGATTGTTCCATGTTAGTAGAACGAGCGGTCATTTGAGCTCAGTTTGATTATCTTGTTCGATGTTTGAAGGTGGACTCTATGCAAGTATTCAAGTTGCCACGACCTGTCCTGTGTGTTGGAGGTATTCTTCAAGTGGAGCTTTTGGGTCGTGTACAGACCCAAGAGATGGATCAGCTTTATTACATTTGGTATTTGTGCATTCAGTTTTTCTTTTTCTTTTTCACAAAGCATTGCCCAGTAATTTGTATAGTGCCCTTGAGGTCTCTACTCTGTGCTAATTACACATGTGCTCTATTACCCGCTCTTGGTACTGGCTGCTGATTAACTCAATCTTTGCCTGCAGCATATGTCATGTGAGTGTGGTGGGATGGCCACTTTCTGATTTTAGAGCTCGTCTCACCGGAGAGCCGCCTAAATTTTGTCTAGAGTACCGAGGAAGATACAAGGAGAGCCAGACTGGCGTTCATGGAGTCAAGCAAAATCTTGTGCGTGGAGAGACTGCCCCGGAAATTTGGATGTCGTTCGCGATTAGCCGAGTACTACGTCGGAACCGGATATTTCTGAATTCATTATAACACTTACTAGCTATTTCCTGGCTCAGAAAGATCCCAAGGTCTCGTTCAGTGATGAAGAAATTGAAGCAGTTGTTGACGAGGAGGCAGATGCGACTTGTTTGTAGTGGAAGTCTGGTTTGTGTAGGTGTTCACAGCCTACATGACTAGAGTTTGGTTTGATTATCCCATTACGCTAGGAAGTCATCATGCTATTCTTTTCCTCAGATTAGTGGATGTCTAGCATGAGCGCTATCTTCTCTGGTGTCGGTCAAAATTCCTTGGTGCCACCTCAAGAGTTTTGTTGGTGCACTATGTTAAGTCAGTGACATGGGAGCTGTTACACTCTTTCCTGTGAATTTAGCCTCAAATGGTAGAAAGGAATGTATAAACGTGGAGTTTTGTGCACAGAAAAAGTTGTAGATCGTATATTTGCCTTTGCTTCCTCGACAGTAATTGTAAACTAAATTCGATTCTTTTTATTACGTAGTTTTTTTAGCAGGCTTGCAATATAGCTTGGAACGCTGTTTTCATGTATGAATTGTCTCTAATTTTTTACACTGAAAGTGAAGTCCAAATCTTGGACTTGAAGGACTCCTCGTGCTAGAGCTGGGTCGTGACATCTGCGCATACTGCGCATACTGCGACAAGACTCTAAACATCGTCCTCTTCCCATCTAACTCTATTTAGCCAGTGCATCCTTGTGGATTAGATTCTGACCACGGAAATATCAACTGGTTCTAGAGTTGACGTGCTCCACTTTGCGGACAGAAGAATTTTTGGAATGTTTTAGCCAGATAAATGTTTGTGTTCGAGGTTATTTGACTAATGTTATCCAGGAAATTGAGACGTTAAGTTTTGATTGTTTCGAAGGCATTGAACCTCCGTATATCCATGATATTTGCATGAATATAATTACACATTCGTAACTTTCAGCAACTACGATCGTTATGTTGATCTTGCACGGTCTGGAATAGCAAGAAGCTGCTGAAGGAAGTTGGGGTTGTTTACAACAGTTGTGATGAATGTGAGGTTGCGACCAACGCACTGGTCGATTTTAAAGCAAACGAATGATAATTGTCAATTAAGTCAGCACCTTGATTGAAAGACAAATGTCAGGCAAGAGTTGATTCTGCTTACGATTTGGGCACATTTTTCTGTAACAGATCAGAAGGATTTCTCTCAGCAACTGGGTTTACGGTATATTGGGAGGTTCTTGAGTATGCACTTAGTTTGTTGGCCAACGGGAGGTTGTTCAGAGAAGGGAGGCGGAAGATGGGAAATAGAAATAGAGACGTCAGCTGTTGGAAGGACTACTTTGATTGAGGTCGCCAATGTTTGTGGAGTGGGAAAAACTAAGTGTCACTGTTGAAGAACCATGTTTTGGCTGTTTCTCTAGCTTTTTGTCCTTTTTAGAGCTAAAAATCTTGAGGGACCCTCGATGTGAAGTTGGCGGAGGTTAGCGAAAGGCTCTCCGGTAGGTCGCCGCTTGAATTCCAGCAGGTGGAGTAGCTCATGCATACAATCTGGCTGCACAACCAAGATAATGTCAAGAAAGGTGTCAAGACTGTGGGCTGTGTTGTTATTCCTCGTCATGGCATGGTCCACCTGGAATGCGACTGATTACTTTCCTAGAAATCTCCACCCAACGGTCAATACTCCTGAAATTTCATTTCTGGCATCACTCCATGGCTTTCTGATGAAGCATGCAGAAATCTCCTGGAAAGTATCTGTGGATTCACCAGGTATTGCAGTTCATGGAGAGGGGATTGATAGGTCTCCGGGGAGCATACCGACGTCGCCACCAACGTTGAACATTTATGTGTATGAAATGCCAGCCAAGTTTACAACCGATTTATTGTGGTTGTTTCACAACTCTCTGGATCAGACTGTAAATTTAACGTCCAATGGCAGCCCTGTGCATCGGCTTATACAACAGGTTTATCTCCGTTTACTGTTGCACAATTAATCCTCTCACAAATAGAGGCAACATTGGTCTTGCTCAAATCAGTGTCATTTGGACTACATTACATTCGGAAAGTCCATCTGTCAAGAAACTTTATGGGGTGTTCGTGGGCCGAAATTGCAGCATTCAGTGGACTTTTGGCTCTTTTCGGACTTGATGACACGAGAGGATAAGCGGCTTCTGAAAACATTCAGACGAGTGAGCCATCAGGAGCAGGCAGATGTGTATTATGTCCCATTCTTCACAACGATCCCCTTCTTTCTCTTGAGTAGGGTGCAAAGCAGAACGCTTTACAGGGTATGCTTATCTCACCTTATTGGAAGGAATGTGTTTGTCTTGGTAGTATTGCATGGCTTTCTCAAGATCGAAGAGAGATGGAATGCTTCCAGAGAACTTGATATAGCTTCATGCGGGTATGGTAAAGAGGGCAGAAAAGGATGATTAGCACCACAGATGCTTCTTATTCTGCTGAGGAGTAGATCGCTTGGCATAATAAGAGCTGAACAGGTTTACCTATTTCTTGAAACAATGGTCATCTCTACTGTTCTTAATGCCCTCAATGTCCTTCAGATAGTTATGTTGTGCTGATAGAGCCACAGAAATGTTCATTGAGAACAGGAGGCCGTCAAGTGGATAACAAGGCAAGCGGCGTGGCAGAGGTCAGGTGGACGAGATCATGTGCTCGCAGTGCATCATCCTTGGTCTATGAAATCTCATCGCAGATTCCTAAAATCTGCGATCTGGTTGCTCTCTGATCTTGACTCCTCCGGAAATTGGTATCACTCATTCTTTAGTGGAGAGTTTTTTGTCGAATACAACGTGACAATGTAGGAAAACCCACGCTCTCAAGCCAGTGTCTATTGGGAAAATTATTTGCAAGACAACATGTAAAATTTAATCGAACACCTTTTTAAATGCTTACGATGTACTTCCTTTAGAAATCTGAGTATTCCTGCCACTTATCCTATGCATGCATCACAAATTAAGCAGACGCTCCTGATCTGATGTAATATTTGTGTGACATTTATGGTCTGGTCACAGGTATAAAGAAGGAGAAGTTTCACTCGAAAAGGATGTGATTATGCCTTATGTTGCGAATGTCGATGCTTGTGATGATAATTGTCTTGCAACTTCTAAACCATCACGCAAGACGCTGCTCTTTTTTCAGGGCAGGATTGTCCGTGGTTCGGTAAAGCAGTGTTGCATGTCTTTGTTGTAAATATTGGTTCAAAGCTTTGCTAAGGAAACACAATCAAAGTATTGCACTGTCGTGATGAAAATAGTGCACGTATTCAAAATATAGCATCTTTTCATGACTCGAGTCAAACTTGAAAATTCTCATTCTAAGTGGAAGTGCTGGAAATGGAGCAAAAGCCTGCAATTAATGACCTCCAAAGAGATCTTTGTCAGGCTGGAAAGGTTCGCTCAAGGTTGGCAGCTGTGTTGCGGGATGAGAAAGAGAGAATTGTGTTCCAGGAGGGGTTCAGTGGTGCAGAGGGTAAAGCTACCGCGCAGCATGGAATGCGGAGGTATTTTATGATTTACTAATTCATATAAGTGTTCACTTTGTTTATATTGCTAATTTGGAACGTAGCTCATTGTCAATATTGTAACATGAATACTCGATTCCTGATGAGAGAGGAATGGCAGTTCTGTGTTTTGTCTCAGTCCGGCTGGAGATACGCCATCATCGGCTCGTCTATTCGATGCAATTGTGAGCGGTTGCATTCCTGTCGTGGTCAGTGATGAACTGGAGCTACCTTTTGAGGGGATACTAGATTACCGACAGGTTGAGTCCTTGGCAGCATTCTTCATTGTTGTCGATTCCCTTCATTGGTGTTTGGGTATTATATCGTACATGAACGAAACAACTGAAACCTCCGATGATTTTCCTAGATTCAAGATAACTGCCTAAATTTTGGTGAGTCTGTGAGCAACAACACTTACAGAATTAGAGCTGGCGGTGTTTCCTTAATTACTTTCCCTTAATCAAGGAAACATGACAAACTTCCAGGTAGCCCTGTTTGTGCCAGCAGCACGGGCTGCTCAGAAAGGATGGCTTGTAGCTCATCTACGAAATAAAACACCCCAGGATGTTGCAGCTATGCAGCAAAGACTTGCCCAAGTGAGTTGCGATCGTGCCAATGAAATGCTCAAACCTCCTCGCAACTAAGTCCCATGATACGAAGCTAGAAGAATAATCCTGTCTGCCCGATTACAAGTACCTTGCTATGTTCAGTAGAATACAGATGTCAAAATATTATCTAGATTTGATTCTAAAAGTTCTGCAGATATTGTTGATTGATATTAACCATTCAGCATGAGTTGTGAGATCTGCGCAGTATGGAAGACACTTCCGCTATGGAACTCCTGCACAGCCGTTGGGTCCCGAGGACTTGACGTGGCGCATGGTAAGGGCACATTCAGGACATTGAGGGCTCGGCATTTTGCTCTCTGTCACTATTTGTGCACATCTCTACAACACTTGCTATATGATTAATTTTAGGAAATGAAATTTGAATGTACGATACGTAACGTATAATATGTTTGAAATTTGTTCAGAACTAACTGTCCTATTTCGAGTCAATTACCCTTTCCCAGGTTGCAGGGAAGCTACAAAGTGTGAGACTGCACATACGCCGGTCGCAAAGGCTAGTCGAAGGTGCTTTGGGCACATGTAACTGCCAGTGCACTCGAGCCAATTCGACAGCAACTCGACTGTAGAGAACCCTCACTGCCAAGAGGGTAGAAACGAGACACACGTATTGAGGAAGCTGTGATAGGATTCATGACGTTCACAAATGAAGACGTTATTTGATGCTGACTGCAAAGCATGCAATTGATAACTTAATTATTAGTGAAGTGAATCGTCCTAATTGTGTAAGAAAAAGACAGTTGTCGGTCAGTATTGTAACTGTTATGTGAAGTGTTATTCAAGATAATTCAACACATCTGAGCAAATAGTTAAATTTCGCTAAAAACATCAGTAATGATCTAAGTGCCAAGAGTGGACAAATCTAGCAAAATTGCAAATCCACCCACGCCAGTCATTGAACAGTATGTGACACCAATCTCTCGAAGAAAGTGAATAGATCCTCAATTCATAAAAATGCCAGAATATGCCGTGTAGGCTGAGTGGAGCTTTCTGTGAACATGTTCATGTATGGAGCTACATTTTCCGGTATGAGGCCAGCCAAAACTTGAGAAACTCAAGCTGTGAAGACCAATGGTACATATTACCACTATTGAACTTCCGATACTGCATCATTGAATTGCCATTGCAGACTGTTCCTTACCGCAACCTTCTTGCTTCACGCTCAGACTCGAGGAGAGTCAGAATGTCACCTGCAAAGTCATAGAGAATAAAGTTAACAAAGACAATTTGATTGAGCACATTCAAGTTCTAAGCATGAACTCCTAAAACATTGAAAATATTCCCCATGTCCATGAAAAAATAGCTAATACGGAAGACATATAACAAAACGAATTCCTGGGCTGTCGGTAAGAGAACTACGAACTACAATTTCGTACTGCAGCGACAATTAGTTCAAGTGTGTAAACGCAAGCAACATTACCATAAAACCCTCGTCATCACATACATCGGATGTCTCCCACCATAGATATCACAATCGCACGAAGTAAAGATGAAACATAAGGAGGAAAAATTCAGTTGACAAGATGTAGTTCTGCACTGATTTATGTAGTTTCAGACTCAGGACGCTTCATCACAGAATTGAGCGAGAGAGAAAACATGTGGTGACACACGAAGATCCGAACTATGTAAATTCACACACATTCGAAATGCACACGACTGAGGTGATAAGTAACCCCATAGATATCTAATATGACAACATCATGTAGGTCCTCATTCCTCCAAAATTCTATCTTTCTTAGTAGAAAATCTTACAAAAATCGAACTTGATAAGGTAGTTTACCTTCACGCACGGGTCCCTTGACGTTGCGCATGATGAGACGGTTCTGGTCATCCAAGAACTTAACGCGCACCTGGGTCACCTGACCTCGGGACCCAGTACGCCCGATCACCTTCATCACAATAGCCAACTTCACGGCGGTATCCTGCACCATCGAATATCGTAACTCAGTATCTTGTCAAAATCCCAGAACCCTAGACGCGTAAAGATAAATAATTAAAAAAACAATCCAAGAAAAATAAAACCTAAGCAAGTTAGGCGAACGACACAGCATGAGACACTAAAAGCAACAATTCATACTCAACAAACAAACATCAACACCCCAAAGAAAACCTAAGCCTCGAGCTTAAACAAACACGAAATTAGACACAACCTAAAATGACAACGCAGTTACATATATATATATATTCAAAAAAATAATAATAATAATAAATGAGCCCTTGAGAACTTGAAGAGCTCTCGCACCTCTTCACATTCAACCTCAGTTTAACCCCCAGCTTAGCATCATTCAAATGATACATAAAAATATACATATCAGTAGTAATCGATCCCGTAGTGAAGAGACAACACCGTGCTCATAACCTAGAAACCCTGAACCTTAAACCTACACTCAGCGCTACAAAAGATGCCCACTCACTGACCCAGCAAGAGAGGTCAAACGAAAGAGGGGATTGGAGTGTACCATAATGTAGTCGAGCGAGAGAGCGAGTTGACAAACAAAGGGGCCGAGGCGCGAAGCCGCAGACTCACGAAAGATGGCGAAAGAGATCTGGCCACAACAGAGCTTCTCTTTCTTCTAGCTCTAGGGCTTGGCTTGGCTTGGCCGGGCTTGGCCTGTGGCTTCAGGCCACTCTGACTGGCAAATAAGCAAGCAGTCAGGCAGCGTTGGACACACCCTCTTCGTTCATCCAGTTCTACATCCCAAATTCATCTATCATTCGTTGAGTTCGCTCACTTCGAAGCTTAGTTGAATGTGGCAGAGTTCGTGGCACTCGTTTGCACTTCTTTTTTTTGTTGCAATTATGAAATTACACGTATGTTTCAAAATTCCTATATATAGATAGAAAGATAGATAGAACTGTTAAATTTACCCAAGTATTTACTAAAATCAACCCACCCACTCTACCTATTATCAAAAAGTTCTCCACTATGAGAGCCATATTGGTCAAAATCAAATAAAAAATGAATGAATCCTTAACCAATAATAACGATGATGGGTGGATTGATTTAGTAAATACTTGGGCTGCTTTCAAAATTCCCTATATATATTGATAAAGATGTTTTTATAATGATTTAATGTATCTTGGTTGGAAATGTACTAATGAAAAAGGTACTTGAAGTTTTTGTTTTGAAAGTAGATATAGAATTCCAAGTGAGTGTCCATAAGGCATGTTTTTATAGTCTTGGTTTATATTCTATTATGTTGTTGTTCTTCATTTGTGTTCTTTGATGGTAAACTTAAAGCAATGTTTATTTTCCTATTTTTTCTTTATTTACACATCACAAACATTATATGTGATTATTTTAGTATTTTACACTATGACCACCATTTGCATCATGTTATAGGTTGTTAATTATACAATAAATTTTATTCCAAAGATTATTTATACTTTTCTTCCAAGTCAATATTTCTTATTTAAATGAAATCTTTCATTTTATCTCTCTTTTTATATAAATATATATATATATATATATATATTAGTGGAAACTCATGCCATTGACCACAAAAAAGCTATAAAAGTGTAAATTGTGATTGCTAAGTCAAAAATTGACCTCTCCTAAAGAACTATATATATATAGAACACCAACTTACAAAAGTAAATGGACATGTTCCATTATTGCTTTCATACTAACTTTGAATTACTTCAAGCATTTTATACTCTTAAATATAATAAGCTTGTCTTATATACAAAAGTACAAATGCATCTATCATGTCTTTGATATCATTCCATTGCTACAATATCTCTAAAATAATAATAATAATAAACTAATTGGAACCAACTACCTTGTGTTCATTGTTCTTTGTACAAAGAAGCAAGCCTTTTTCAAACTCTAAAAAAAAATTGTTAAAATCTAAAAAAAAATTGTTAAAAAACAGCAGAGAAATTTTAATGAGAAAGAAATTAAATTTTGTTACAGATCTTGTAATTTCCCATAAAGAAATCCAAATATTTTTAATTAGGTAATATAGCAATTCAAATTGTAGCAATTAATGCTTATGAAATTCAAACTTTGTTTTGATTTTATAAATGTATATTTTTTGTATATTATTGTTAGCATTTTAAAAATATTGTTGAGAAATTTAAAGTTTTACATGCCTTACAAAATTAAACACAAATTTTATCTGGTTTACTATGTAAAAAAATCATATCTCTTATTTTTCAAAAACTGATTGTAGATCTGAATTTTTTCATAGCAATATAACAATAAAACAATGAGGATATTTTTTTTTGTAATTTTTTGATCCTAAATTTATCCATTTTAAGTAATATAATTGAAAGAAATATTTCAATTGAGTTTTGAAAATTAATAAGTTACTCAAAATCTTAGTCAAATTATTCTTTTTTGAATCAAGTTTGCACTAAAAATAATGGTTTAAAATTATTTATGTATTGAATTTGGAAAAAAAAAACAAAAAAAAAAAAAAAAAAAACAAAAAATCAAAACAAAACAATATAAACAAGATATTATTATGTAAACATTGAAGAAATATATGAGGAATAGAAACAAAAATGCTTTGCAAATCATACAAGAAAATAAAAATAAAAATAAAACACAAAGATTTTATTATTATTAAGATATAGTCATACTCAATTGAATTAATACAACATAATATAAATAGGGGAATATTAAATAGACCCAAGTTATTACTAAATCAATCTACCCACAATAAAGAATATGGTAATCATGATGAATGCAATTGGTTGTCATTGATTTCTGATCTAGTAGTGGAGAAATGAATCTAAAGTTTCTTTTTTTCTTTTCTTTTTTCATGATGGTTAGGATGGGTGGGTCAATTTAGTACAAACCTGGGTCTATTTAACATTTCCTCTAAAGAAGCATCTCTGTGAGAGATTGCGTGTTGGAGCACATGAACGAACCGGCCAACAAACGAGCAAACGAACGAACAAACGAAAGAACGAAAGAACAAACGAAAGAACAAACGAAAGAACGAAAGAACAAACGAAAGAACAAACGAAAGAACGAAAGAACAAACGAAAGAACGAAAGAACAAACGAAAGAACGAAAGAACAAATGAAAGAACGAACGAAAGAACAAATGAAAGAACGAACGAAAGAACATACGAACAAACGAAAGAACAAATGAAAGAACGAACGAACAAACGAACGAAAGTAGAAACGAATGAAAGTGCAGACGTGGGGTTTTGGCAGGGGCTCCTCCTCCTTAGCAGCGGCCCTCGTCTGTCTCCCCTCATCTCCCGCTAACATCCAATTTGCGGGAAGGAAGTGTAAGATTCAATCTGTCTGTCTGCCGCACAGATTTGGCTGCGCTGCCGTGGAAAATCTGTCACCTGGGCAGTGATTATGATGCGATGGCAAACCGCGCGATCCTTTCAACCGTTGTGGTAAGTGTCCTCTTGTTCCTTTTATTTAGACCTATCCATGTGTTTTAGATTTAGTTAGTTATTCAGGGGGAGACTCGCGGCGAAGCTCTGGTGTAGGGTCACATGGCGGCTGCTGGAAAAGAGAAATTCAGTGCGATCTTCTTTAGCAGGTTTAGAGTGAGTTGCAGGACATTAGGTGCGTGGATTTGTTTTGGACACTGTTGTGCACGGGGTCACAATGCCAGTTTTTGGGTCTTTTCGATGTTGAGGTGGGTCTTGGGTGTGTGTGTTTCGTCGGTCCGTTTTATTGTCGCTTTTTTGTGCGGTTTAGCGTCCAGGGCCCCAGTGTGCGCATATTTCAGTTGTGTGCAACTTGGGTCCCTGCAATTGTGTCGGTACTGAATAGTTTCTGGTCGGTATGATTGAAGCTTATCAAAGCAGCCACGTTCAGTTCTTTGTCTCTAGAGTCTCCTACAAAAGATGAGTCATTTCTCTGTTTCCTTGCGTTTAGAATCTTTTCGCAAGTGAAAGAATTGTCTGCCTGCCCGCTCTATGAGTGCGATGAAATTGTTAAACATGTTTATTAATCTTGTGACTCTTGGAACTCGTGGTCGTGGAGTATGTTTCGTAGCCTAAGTTTTGAAAGCTTACGGTTGGACATAATATGCCTTGCAGTGTTTGCAGATACAATGGTCTGGACTTTACGTTCTCGATTAGTATTAGAAATTCTAGTTTTGTAGTCGACTTTAAAATGATTCTATGTGGGATTGGGATCTCAAACCCCAGGTTTTAAACGGTGAGAGATGATTTTTAGAAGGAGAGACCACACATGGACAACTCTCGGTAGTTTGACCTACGACGGTGTTTTTCCATGATGTTTTGAATGGTACCCAAGTTTTTTCATACAAGGGTATGTGAGCGCATAAATAAAAAATGAAAATTTTGCATTGTGGATATTTTCTCTTTCGATTGTACCAGAAAGTATTGTTTCGCTAACTATTCTGAGCTTGTGCTCTTCAGAACTTGGAAGATGATGACGACGACGATATTAAGCTTCCCAGTAAGTCTGGGGACGCACTTGCTCCCCAGCCACCGGGAACTATTTCCGACAGCAGGTCTCCCTCCTATGTGAGTGACCTGGAACAAGATGATACCGATGACGAATTCAAGCCTCTCTTTGATTATACTGAAACCGTTCCATCTCCAACCTATTTTAGCGGTTAGTGATTTCCATGCAGTTCTGGGGCATGTGTCAACGCTTTCAACTTGCAACTTGAATTACCATTTGATACTGAGCTTGGCGAGATAAATTCCTTAGTAGAAACAATCTGCATGGTGAATGATTCCCCCTCTATCTTTTATTGCTGGTTTGGGTACAGATGACGATGAGGACGATTTCAAATTCTCATCAGCTCCTAAACGCAGGTGCGTTAGGGCGCAAGCTAAGGTATGCCCTTAGATTTTCATCTTAACGAATCGGGGTGGCTCTGAATAGATTCACTTAATCATTTTTTGACCATGTTTTGTAATACATTGTAGTGGCGTTGATGTCCGATCCCTTTCTTCTTTTATGAGTAGCCCGTGGCAAAATCACTTTACGATTCAGGCGATTCATATATACATGAACCAAGTTGTTCACTTTCACTATCAATTCATATAAGGAATGAAGCTGTGGCTCTTAAACATGAGCGTTAAGGATGCAAGATCCTTGGTCAGCCTGGATTTAATTCTGATCATAGGATTGGCTATGATTAGGAACCATCAACACCAAGTCCTCAGGAGGAGATAGTCACTGTGGGTGATGATGATGACGATGAAAGCTGGTTGTTACCCTCGCCCCCAAAGTCCTCGCCTCTCAAGTTTCCGAATAGGGCTACGTCTGCATTGCTTTCTGCAAATTATGCATTACACCAATTAAGGTTCAAAACTCACTTTGATTTCAACACCTGTGCTGATCGAAATTGATCTAATCTAGACTTGCAGTACATAATAATTAGGTTCGGAAGGTGCGTAATCTCTAGCACCTATGAGATAATAGGTTTGGTACAAGATACCTTTGAAATGTGGCTTCAGAACATTCATGATATGTTAGTATCTACAGGCAGAGTCAGACTGAGCTGATGGGGCTACAATTTGCGGCATCACCAGAGGGAATAAAAAGAGTTGAGGAGCAAGCAAAGCTGCAATTACAACATCGTCCAGACCCGGAGTCTCCTTTGGCCGCGAATACTTCCAAGGATTTGAACTTTCACGAAGAGATACTAGAGAGTAAATCCGTTACTCCGGAGAAAAGAGAGAAAGTTTTGCTTAAAGTGCAAAACAAAACTGGAAGTTATCAATCTATCCGGATATTCATGGTGAGAGAATGCAACCGTCTCTTGTAAGGAATTACTGGTGATATGGTTCATATTGTTAAGCAGATCATAGTTTTCACCAGACTGTTAAGGCTCCATTGTGGCTTTTACATATTCTCATTAGTTATTTTCAGAGTAAGTGAAGTTGTTTCAGTAATTTGTTTTTCTTTTTTCTGGTTTCTTTTTAAATTCTTCATCCGTATAATAAGGACTGATTGGTAATTTTGTGTATGCCGATTTGATAGACCGACAAATTTGAGAAGCTATTTAGCGTATACGCGGAAATGGTGGATGCTCCGCTTGCAAATCTGAGTTTTTGTTTTGATGGGGATCAACTCTCTTCTTGCGGCACACCTAAGGAGCATGACATGGAAGATGGTGACGTCATTGAAGTGTACAGTAAAATTTGACTGGATTTTCAATCTGTATTTATATGAAGATGTTGAGGTGTAGAAGTTTTACATCTGCCTTGGGAAGACATAGATTGGGAGTGAGCTTCTCTTGCAAGTCAGGAAGTAGTCGGATGATCGAAGTTTAGTTTTCAATGACTTGCTAAGCTGGGGGATTTTCAGAGTTGCGAGTGCCCCTCGAAGCGTTTGTAAATGGCTTGAAACTTTTAAAGATACATTCTTTGATATTTCATGTGATTACCCAGTTTTATGGGGTTGTGTTTAGAACATAGTTTGGGAGAACCGTTTTTTCTTGTAGCAGTAGGTAGAATCTTTTGACAATTTCCAGTAGATAATAAGTTGTCCACATAGAGAGAACCAAGAGTAGTATTTTTTCAATCTAAAATTTGTAATCACCTTCTCCTTATGGAAAACACTGGTTGCTTAAGAAAGATTCAATTTTATCATACCAGGGTCTAGGTGCTTGTTTCAATCCGCAAAGAGCTTTGTGAAGTTTGCATAGAAGATGTTAATGTCTTGTTCTCACAAAACCTTGTGGTTGGGTGATGTGTATTTCCTCCTCCAAATCACTATGGAGAAATGTGGACTTTATTTCCATATGGTAAAGTTTCCAATTCCTTTGCACTGCTAAAGCTATCATCATATTTCTTCACAATCAATTCCATGTTGTTGCTCAAAGCCACAAACTATCTTTTCTTTTGCAAGGCACCAAGGTTGAGCTTGGCTTTGAAGACCCACTTGGTAGAAATAGGTTGTTTGCCAAGTGGCAAGGATGTGAGTGTCTGTTATTATCATGTATAGATTGCATTTTGTTTTCCATTGAAAATCTCCTGTCAGCATCCTTAATGGCTTTGTGATAGGAGGTTGGTTCCATTATAGGTAGAGTAAGAAATCCACAAAAGTAATCTTGTATCTATTTTGGTGGTTTGACGACTTGTTTATTGGAGCAAAACATTGGGGGTGATGTTATAGAGGTAGCTGGTAAGTGTTTTATTCCTTGTGGACTTGTGGTTGGAACTTCAAGCGTGTCTAGTTTTGTAGAAGAGTTGTCATTGAGATTGCCAGTAGGCCAAGTGTTAATATCATCAAAATTTGTGTGATAGGATATAAAGTTTGATATGGGAGTTGATGTAGAGATTCCTTCAAAGATAGATGAAGTGTCTTGAGTTGATGTAGATTGAGTTGGTGAGATTGATGTTGAGGTCAACATTGAGGAGTTTGTGGTATGTAGATTATGAGGAAATAGTATAGTGTTTGTAGAGGTAGGTGTAGTCTCGATGTCTTCCTCATCATTGTTGTTGTCATTGGAAATACCTTTCTCTGAATAGAGAGACTAAAGATCTTCAGTGATGAGTGTTGTCATGGTGGAATCTAAGTTGAAGAAGCATGTTTCATCAAAAGAGACATCCTAAGTGATTTGAATTTTGCGGCAAGCAAGAAGGTATACTCTGTAACTCCTAGACTCATCATCAATTCTTATATAGATGCCAAATTTTGATCTTAATTCAAGCTCATGGCATTGTGTGTTGTCTTTTCCTATGTAGCAAAAACATCCAAATGCTTTGATAGAACTATCTGGTTTTGTGCCATAAAAGAAATAATCGGGTGACATACCTTGGTTTGCACAAGCGAGAGTGCAATTAATAAGTTGTACAACAGTATGGACTGCCTCAATCTAAAGAAATAAAGATACTCTTCCACTTACAAGCATACTTCTAACTTTGTCCAAAATTGTTTTATTTTTTTGTTCCAAAACACTATTCTTTTAATGTGTTTGAGCAATAGAAAGTTGTTAAGTGATCCCATGTTCCTGTAGGTACTACAAAAAATCTTGTGAGATGAATTTGCCTCCTCTATAGGAAAGGTGGGTGAGAAAATCTACAATCTTGCTAGAGGTTTTTAATCTTAGGAAAGGTGGGTGAAAAAATCTACAATTTTGCTAGAAGTTTTTAATCTTAGGAAAGGTGGGTGAGAAAATCTACAATCTTGCTAGAGGTTTTTAATCTTAGGAAAGGTGGGTGAGAAACTCTACAATCTTGCTAGAGGTTTTTAATCTTAGGAAAGGTGGGTGAGAAACTCTACAATCTTGCTAGAGGTTTTTAATCTTAGGAAAGGTGGGTGAAAAAATCTACAATTCTGCTAGAAGTTTTTAATCTTAGGAAAGGTAGGTGAGAAAATCTACAATCGTGCTAGAGGTTTTTAATCTTAGGAAAGGTGGGTGAGAAAATCTACAATCTTGCTAGAGGTTTTTAATCTTAGGAAAGGTGGGTGAGAAACTCTACAATCTTGCTAGAGGTTTTTAATCTTAGGAAAGGTGGGTGAAAAAATCTACAATTTTGCTAGAAGTTTTTAATCTTAGGAAAGGTGGGTGAAAAAATCTACAATCTTGCTAGAGGTTTTTAATCTTAGGAAAGGTGGGTGAGAAACTCTACAATCTTGCTAGAGGTTTTTAATCTTAGGAAAGGTGGGTGAAAAAATCTACAATTTTGCTAGAAGTTTTTAATCTTAGGAAAGGTGGGTGAGAAAATCTACAATCTTGCTAGAGGTTTTTAATCTTAGGAAAGGTGGGTGAGAAACTCTACAATCTTGCTAGAGGTTTTTAATCTTAGGAAAGGTGGGTGAGAAACTCTACAATCTTGCTAGAGGTTTTTAATCTTAGGAAAGGTGGGTGAAAAAATCTACAATTCTGCTAGAAGTTTTTAATCTTAGGAAAGGTAGGTGAGAAAATCTACAATCGTGCTAGAGGTTTTTAATCTTAGGAAAGGTGGGTGAGAAAATCTACAATCTTGCTAGAGGTTTTTAATCTTAGGAAAGGTGGGTGAGAAACTCTACAATCTTGCTAGAGGTTTTTAATCTTAGGAAAGGTGGGTGAAAAAATCTACAATTTTGCTAGAAGTTTTTAATCTTAGGAAAGGTGGGTGAAAAAATCTACAATCTTGCTAGAGGTTTTTAATCTTAGGAAAGGTGGGTGAGAAACTCTACAATCTTGCTAGAGGTTTTTAATCTTAGGAAAGGTGGGTGAAAAAATCTACAATTTTGCTAGAAGTTTTTAATCTTAGGAAAGGTGGGTGAGAAACTCTACAATCTTGCTAGAGGTTTTTAATCTTAGGAAAGGTGGGTGAAAAAATCTACAATTTTGCTAGAAGTTTTTAATCTTAGGAAAGGTGGGTGAGAAAATCTACAATCTTGCTAGAGGTTTTTAATCTTAGGAAAGGTGGGTGAGAAACTCTACAATCTTGCTAGAGGTTTTTAATCTTAGGAAAGGTGGGTGAAAAAATCTACAATTTTGCTAGAAGTTTTTAATCTTAGGAAAGGTGGGTGAGAAACTCTACAATCTTGCTAGAGGTTTTTAATCTTAGGAAAGGTGGGTGAGAAACTCTACAATCTTGCTAGAGGTTTTTAATCTTAGGAAAGGTGGGTGAGAAATTCTACAATCTTGCTAGAGGTTTTTAATCTTAGGAAAGGTGGGTGAGAAACTCTACAATCTTGCTAGAGGTTTTTAATCTTAGGAAAGGTGGGTGAGAAACTCTACAATCTTGCTAGAGGTTTTTAATCTTAGGAAAGGTGGGTGAAAAAATCTACAATTTTGCTAGAAGTTTTTAATCTTAGGAAAGGTGGGTGAGAAAATCTACAATCTTGCTAGAGGTTTTTAATCTTAGGAGTTGTATATCTTTTGTAGGTAGTACTATAGGATTGTTGTTAATATCAAAGTTGTGAGTAAATAGGTGTTCTAATTTATAAAGTCCATTGTCAGGGTCTCTTTGACAGTTGTCTACAATGCTTAAATAGTAGATATAATAACACATTCTTAAGGTCCAAAAATGTAGAAGTTGATAACATCTATGATTTATTCAATAGATAAAATATTCCTCCTTAGGCCAAGAACATAATAAACTCTTTTGAGAGTTTTTATTTCTCTAGTAGGCATGGACAGATTAATTGATCATTCGCCTGCAATTACATGGACATTATTTCTAGCTAATGTAATTGTACTGCTATGGGAGTGGTTTATTTTGTCAAAGGTAAAGTAGTTGCCAGTGAAGTGCTTTGAAGCACCAAAATCTAAGGTCCATTCACTAAGTTCAAATGTCTCTAGAATAGCTTCATCACTTAGTAAATCAATATGATATAGATCTTCATAAGTCACTTTAAGTACCACACCAAAGCTTTTCTTCAACTCTCACTTATTCTTGACTTGTATCATATCATTGATGATATCCAAGATCCACAAATTGCTTGGAATTAACTTAAGAAGATGTTTCTTACGAATGGTATATTTGACACCATGGTCATCAATTGTTGGAGACACTTGCAAATAAATAAACATTAAGATGTTAATTTTTTTATGCAACATGTAAATGATGTCATAAGAAATTTCAAAGTTGTCAATTTAAAACTTCTAGAAGTTATAATCCATCATATCTTGAATTGTTTACCAAAACATTTTGAAAATCTTATAATCCACATACAAAATAAAAAAGACTTACCATCTTTAGAGGAATTGTGGAGTTGACTTTACATAGAAGAAACTAATGCAATGCTTAAGGAAATTGAAGAATCAGCTCATGAGGTTCTTTTCATGAAGATTTGTAACATCTATCACAATTCTCTTTATAGGGTGACTTCACACCATCAAGGTTGGAATTGTAGTCTAGCATATGGTCTTCAAGGCCCTCATCACCATCATCGAGTTCTCTCATAAGGACCCTTCATTTGTAGATGATGCAGGAAAAAAAAAAGACATACTTTGCATGTATGTTGAACCCTTGCTAACATGATTTTTGTATCAAGGCTACACCAATTCTTGTCCAAGTGTTGAAAGCTTAAGTGGTTTCTCATCTACACCACTAATACACAACCATGGAGTTAATTTTGCTAAAGTGACTTATGAAGATCCTAAAATCTTGATTTAATGACAAAAAAACTTGAAGTTTTCAAGAACCACAAATTTGAAACTTCACGATCTCAACAACTTCTGACATTGATTTTTTTTTTTTTTTTTTTTTTTTTTAATTTTTTTTTTTCATTCATTTTACTCAAAACTCTACTTCCCTGAAATCCATCATTGCACCTCCTTGTCCACAATCCATCACTTCCATCTCACAAAACTGCAAATCCTAACTATTTAGCTTTCCAAAGACTTCATCTGTAGCAAAATTTCTAATACACTTAAAATTTGAACTCTAATTACTTGGTTCTTTGCCAATCACATGACCTTGTAATTCATTCTCTAGAAATATTAGTTGCAATTCCTCATATTCATGACTAGCTATATGAGCAATAGATTCTGACCTCCAATTGTACAAATACCATATTTTGTGATATCCCATAATATTATATTTTTGCAACAATCCCATTCATCATGTCACTATGTATGACAACGCAATAATAATAAAAACCCAATATATATAATATAAAAAATTAAAAATATAATTATTTTATTTAT